AAGAAAGAAAGAAAGAAAGAAAGAAAGAAAGAAAGAAAGAAAGAAAGAAAGAAAGAAAGAAAGAAAGAAAGAAAGAAAGAAAGAAAGAAAGAACTTGCTGTTGAACCTGATGACCCGAGTTTGATCCTTGAGACTCACATGGTAGAAGGAATGAATCAACCCCACAAACATGTCATCTAACCTCCACATGTACATGGTTATACTTATGTCCTCCCAATAAATAAATAAACAAATAAATAAATAAATAAATAAATGTAAAATATATATATTTTAAAAATCAATTTTCCAAAGTATGCAATAATTTAATTTAGAATTCTGCATATGTATATGGTACTGCATATTAACTCCTTTTTGTAAGTGACAGAATGTTCCAGTCATGTTCCTAGAGTGTGGCTAAGTCAAAACACAAACGACATTATAATATTCATCAAAAATTCATTGATGATTTGGAAAAATAGTAGAGTAGCAAATGCCAAGCCCAACAGGAAATGAAAACTGGATCTTGTCAGTGACACTTTGAGCCAACCACTTCTCTTCTTAACTCCTGGTTCTGTGCCATGATTCAGTGGCCATATGTCATCTCTCTCCTTAGACCTTAGCTTCATTCCACAAGAACCCACAAAGAGGAAACCTTTCTTTTAGCAAGAAGCAATGTGTAGAATTGGAACTCTACTACTTTTCATGTATTTTCGCACAGCACTTTAGCATCTCCTTCCCCCAAACTCTATTTCAAAAAGGGATTTTTGTTTTATCTTTGTAGTTCAATAGCTTGCTTCCCCAAAGTATTCTCCTTCTATAATAAATGAGTTATTTTGCCTCAGAAGAGGATTCAGATCTGTATCTCCAAAAACACAGTACTTTACCTTCTGTCCTTAAAGAAATAACTGGCAACCAGCTCTCAGTTGTCCTGTGCTTGTAACTAAGTCGTCTTTTAATTTTTTTTATTATTTTGGTGTGTGTGTGTGTGTGTGTGTGTGTGTGTGTGTGTGTGTGTGTGTGTGAAAGCATACATGCCACAGTGTACATGTAGAAGTCAGAGGACAGCTCTCAGGAGTTGGGTCTGCTTCAACTTTGTGGAATCTGGGGATAGG